GCCTCAAAAGCATCCTACTTCTGGCTGTGACACTTTTATTGTGTGTAACTATTACATTTCTTTACCTCTCTGATTATACCTACTTCAGAGTTTGAGGATTACAGATGATACACGTTGATTTTCAATAGAAGGCCATTACTAGGAGCAATACTTTGCAAAAAGAAAAGCCACAGAACATAGCAGTATAAAAAGACATTGGATCTTACCCTATACGTTTCTCTGATTTTGTATTTAAGCCTCTCTGAAGCTAAAGTAATTGCCAATAGTCACAAAGCTAGTTAGTAGTAAACCAGATCTCCCTAGTCTATATTCTAATAGAGGAATAATTTAACCACTCATCACCACTTTACCTTTGAGGTTGGGCTTTATAAACTACATAATCATTCTCTGAATTAATCACAAATGCAGTCTGATTCTTGAAAAAGCAGATAGAGATTGGAATAGTGTGTGGTTTAATAAATGCTAGCATTAAGACTGCGATTTTCAGAACTATGAACTCTCCTTTTTCTCAGTTTGTTGTGGGGGGGGCATCAATAAGATGTGACTTCCATATAGATCTCATCCATGGTGTGGGGATTGTGAGTTGCAGACAGCTCAGGCCAGGAAATAAACTCTAGGCAGAAAAGCTTTGTTAAGCAAATTACTGTGCCTGATCTATGTGTCAACTGGGCTAAAATCTAGAGGAGGAGCTGCTGGGAATTGGAATGATGTGAAAGCCACTGCTTTAAGTGCTTGCCATGAGAAAGTTTTCAGGTACACACACATACACACACACACACACACACACACACACACACACACACACACACCAGGAACTGAGCTTAACAGGAAAAAAACCCCAAGCCTTAGTGAGACTGTAACAAGTTGACTTTTGAACTTAACTACAAAGAAGGAAAAACAGAAAATACAGATAGGCAAAAGGAAATTAGTATATAATTCTACCACTTAAAATCACTATTATCTTGGTGTTTATATGTTAATTTACAAACGAAGTTAATTTTTAAAGAGATATGTCAAAGGAATTGATACAAGCTTTCAAATATAACATTTCAGTTCATTATACAAAAAAAATCACCAAATTAAATAAGGACATATCATATCAAAAACTTCAAAATTTCACAATTATTGTGCACTAAGTACTTAATTAACCAACAATCTCTTTTCCTTAGAAATATATAAAGGGCTTATGAAACAGATTCAAGTCTAATACTCCTCTCTTGCTTGGCTCTCAGTCCAATTGTCCTATTGTTATGTGTGCCTCTGTTGATGACTACAAGTCAGCTTTTCCAACTCCATCCTCTCATACCCCCATTTGTATACTCTTTCAAACATTCATCTCAGTTCTCCAAGAGAACTGAAACAAAATCCAACTTGTTCACCAAGTAAAGCCTATCAATGCTTGTGGTCGGTAATCAATATGTGTGAAATAAGTAAATCCCTGTGGTTGCTTCATCAATGGTTAAGCATTTCAGAGTGCTACATGGATCAGTGAAATGAAGGCAAACGCCAGTTGCTTCATTTCTCGAGCCTAACCTTTCCAAATAGAAGATAAGAATTTTATCTTAGTGAAATAAGAAATAGATTAATGTGTGGCAAATCTCAATCACATAATAAGCCATGTGATGAAGGAAACACAATTGGATTAGAAGATTGAATAGACAGACCACCTTTAGCAATAAATTTCCCCCTTCTCTGCCATTCCTCTGTGCTCTGGTAAGCATCTAAAAAAAAAACTTATACAGCAAATGGTACAGTTAAGTATGAGGAATACTTGGAAGATCTGGGCACAGAGCATGTCAGCTGTCACTAAGAATACAAATCCTCAGCTGTTGTCCTTTTTCTCCTTACAAGTAAGTCTTGTCACATAGACCCATATACAGGTCAAGAGAGAAATTTAAAAAGATATTTATTCTAGCTAATGTACTAAATTACTTTAGGATTATAATTTCAGAAAGCCTAGAAATTCCCCACAAATACTTTCTAGGTATAACTAATAATCCCTAAGATACGTAAATAATACCAACCATTTCAAAAAGTCTTCATGCTATAAATTGTGAGCGTAATATACCTGACCAAATACACAAGAGTATTGACTAAGTAGGAAAGAAATCTGAAGATCATCTTTGAAGTTTCAGACAGAGTTTTTCTGTACTAAGTTCTTGATTTTTGTAAAAATAAACTTTTAATTTTAGAATACTTTTAGCTTAACAAAAGGGTAATAAGAAATTTAAGAGAGTTCCCATATATTTCACACAAAATTTCCTGTATCACTAACACAACTGCCTTCACCAATAAAGCAACACTAAAATGTTTTTATCTAGTATCCTTTTTATTACAGTCCTATCTAGGGCATAACATAACATTTATTCATCATTGTTTCTTTATATTCTTCTAGGCTATGATAGTTTCTCAGACTTTTCTTGGTTTAGGTAACCTTGACAGAAGCTATTGTCAGATATTTTGTAGACTCTCAATTTTGGTCTGACTGCCATTCTTCTTATGATTAGCCTCCACTGTTGGTTTTGGGTGCCAAATACTACCCCACCTACATGATCAAGGTTTAGCAACATTTGTGGTTTCTACTTTTCAAGAAAAAAATTCTGCACCAAAGTACTGCTCTCTATGAATTCATAAATATGTGACATATATTTGATAACACAGAGGGATTTAGATATGTAGTACAGTAGGAGCAAGCCATTTTCCCCCTCAATATGAAATAAAATATTCCTATTTGAAGTTTTGAGTATGTGAGTTTTTAAGTTAGATATTATTGATCTTTGCTGACATTACAGAGGTAAAACACATTTTGAGTGAGTAGGTTAGTAAAACATAAAGATTATTTTTTGTTGTTTTAATTTTTCTTCTGTCTCTTAAGAGGACCAAATTATTTTTGTGCATGCATAAAACTCCCCTACCTGTCAACACTGTCATAGATTTTAAGGTATTTCTGCATATGAATGATAGCATTAATGTTTACTATGAATTAAAGCAAGTCCATATTCATTGTTCAGTGACTGCTGAAAACTCCAATCTATTCATTTAAAATCCAAAGGAAAACAAACTGGTAGAGAAATTTCTGTTATTTATAAAAACTATGATTCTATTATACACATAGCATTATTTTAGTTCTATTCTAAATATTTATATATGAAATGATATCCTTATCTAAAATATGTTCAGATTCTCATGATTTTCCTGCATGTAAGAAATAATTATCAACAGCTAAATTTAGGTGATGGATGAGTTTATGGTATGGAGCATAGGGGACGGAGCAAATGTGAAGGCTTTTCCTTAAGCCCGGCACAGAAAGACAAGTAGCACATGACCTCATTCACAAGTGGAATATAAATAAAAATTATCTAATTGAAATTGAGAGTAGAATGGTGCTTACCAGAGGCTGAGATGAATAGGAGGAAGGAAGGATGCGGAAAGATTGAGCAATGGGTACTAAGTTGCTGTTAGAAGCAAGTAGTGCTAGCATGCTACTACACAGTCCAGTGACTGTAGGTAGCAATGTGTGCTGTGTATTTCAAAAAGTTAGAAGAAACAATATTGAATGTTTTCACCATAAGGAAGTGATAAATATTTGGGGAGCTAGATGTGTTTAAACTGATGACACAATGTATATACCTATTGAAACAGCACATGGTACCTCATTAATATGTATACTTTTGTTTTATGTACCAAATTAAAAATTGAGAATGATTTAAAAGCTTTCCCTGAACATATGTGGGTAAAATAATTTGGTAAATCAGGCTACCACAAGAGAAAAGGAGACTGATTAACTGTGTTATCAGTTGTACCTTATAGGTGAATTACTAATGTAAAAGTCTTAATCTCTCTTAATGATAATATATGAAGGGGAATAGTGTCCTTCTCCATGTTGGAAATGTTTTTATATCAGAGCAAAGAAAAGTGACTAATGAATCACTCTCTTTAAGCATAACTATATGTAACAAATGAAATACATAAAATGCACATTTACATATACATATAGATATGTATGCATATATAAACACTATACTCATTTAAAATCTTAAACTAAGTACCATTTCATTTTCCTAATTAATAACTACTGTTCTCATTAACTAAACATTTCTTAAAGCAATAGAAGTGAGGAAGATACTAAGAAGTGATACTAATTACTAATTGTAAAACTCCCTCTCTGGAAGAATCTTCCACTCACTCAGTTATGAAGAGTCCATTAGTTATACTTCTTAAATATGAGTCTACCCTTCAAACTGAGGAAACCACAGGCAAAAAGGAAAAAGTAAAGTTACCAAAACTTTCACAGTATTGATAAAGTCCTTTCTCCTTTATTTCTCTAAAAATATATTTGTCTGTCTAGTACACTAAAAAGATTTAAGTGATAAATAATCAAATTTTAGGTCATTTGGAAAGGAAAATGGGTGGGAGAGAGACAGAGACAGAGACAGAACTGGAGTTTGTGTTCCCTAGAATGGAAACCACTTTAAGACTTGGTTGGCTTTCCTTATACGTCTGCTTTTTATTTTTAAACACTACCACCTCTTTGCTGACCAACATTTTCTTGCAAATTATGGCCAGGAGGGAGGAGCATGAGCAAAGGAGCTGGGTGAAAGTTAGTGATACTCCCTGCCAAAATTCCAAGTTGAAATTGAATCCTTCAGTAAAGGTTCTTAGGCATGGAAAAAAAAAAGATTTACAACTTCAACAGAACTGTACTTCTACCAAGAAAAAGTATGTCAGCCTACTTTGCTGTCACCAAAGGATCTGAAGCTGTCTTTACCATACTTCTTTCTCCTTTATAGATGGAGGTGAAAAAAAAAGTAAGAGGAGTTAAAAAAAACATGGATGAAGCTGTGACCCTGTAGATTCCATTTATAGTCTGAGCCGGAATGCCATCCCCCTCGCCTGGTGAACTGTCCAATCCAGCCACAAGTGTCAAGGTTCTATTAGGCACTAAGTGAAATATATATGCATGCCCTTATACCATTTAACACTTGGGTCCACCTTCAAGACACTGGGCTGTGGATCAAGCGAACCACCACTCCTCTTCCAAGTATCATTTTGACAGGTTCTTTTGGAGGAGTTCCTTCTTTTTTTAACCCATCCTTTTAAACAAAATGGCACCAAAGAAAGATGTGAAGAAACCTGCTGCTGCTGCTGCCCCTGCCCCAGCCCCAGCCCCAGCCCCAGCGCCTGCACCTGCCCCAGCCAAACCCAAAGAAGAAAAAATTGATCTCTCTTCTATTAAGGTAACTAAATGGATGAATTGTTTGGTCACTGAAACACCTTTCAACAGTAGGGAACTCTAGGAACTTGCAAAGAGGTACAGTAAGTTTTTCATGGAGAGGAATGGAAATGGTATTACTCGGTGAACTGGTACATTTTGGAAGCAAAGAACACTGTTTAAAAATATATAAACTGTAGAATAAAATTTCAGTAAAATTATCAAGAGTGTAATATCACATGTGGGACCTATGACTGCTCTATTTTTTGTTTGTTTGTTTGTTCTCAAGTTTTCATTTTTCCCTAAATTGTCAAACTGCAACTTAAGAGAAAAGTATATAATTGTAACGGTGTTGCATATATAAATATCTAAACCAGTATTTTTTAAATGAAATCTCTGTGTAAACTGGATTTCTTACCTTAAGGATGTACCAAAAGGGAAGTTTTAGCTTTTGCGTCTTTCAGAAGTTTAAAGTTAGCTGATGACCCAGTTGTCTGGGATGTATTTATTTGAGCTTTATTTAAGCTGAGAAACAGAGGATTTTTGCAATTCAAGTTAATTATCCCTTCATTTTTGCTTAATAAAATTTGATACAACGCTAAATGAGATTTCTGTGTAGAAAATTATGCACTCAAGTGTTTCAGTGACTATAACTGTCATCTCTTTTATTTATATGCAGTATTTAATTATGAATTTGTGAGTTGCTTCTAAATGAAACTAACCCAAAATATTAGAAAATGTGTTGGTTATATGGCTTTTAGCATATATCTTTGAGCTTTTGCATACTGACCTTGAACTAAGGAAAATGTGATTGATTTTTGTGTCAACACTTTGCTGTGAACAAGGTTTTCAGTTGCCAAAAGTTTATCTACTTTTGGAAAAATGTTACTTCTCAGTGATATGACCCATCAAATGCAAGTCTTCTCCTCATCCACTGAGCTCTGATTGGTCCAAATGACAGTTTGAAAATCTTCAACTAAAGAACCCTACCTTATATGGAAAACTAATGAGTGAAAGTCCTATGAGGTGATCTTTTCACAAAGCCAAAATTTCCATATACATATAATGAATATGAATTTTGCTAACTTAACATGTTTACTTGCATCTGTAATGCTGACCTATAAATAAACATTTCATTAGCCATTTTAGTATGGTCCTATATTTTCAAAGTATGCCTGAAATAAATATTGAATTAGATCACTTAGATATATGATAAAATTAAATAGATATATTCACATTTTATATTTTTATATTCCAGTTAAATATGAAAATTTATATTTCTAACCAAGAATATATTATCACAAATATTTAATCTTAGTTTTAAAGTACCTGAAGTCATACTTGAAAAAAACTGGCCATAGAATCAAATAGTGGTTAGGAACTATTATAAACAAATATCCATTTAGGAGAAGAAATGCATGCCAAATCTTCTAATAAATATTTTTTTACCTTGAAGACTGCATGCTTACAGTTAATTAAGAGGAAACCAAATTCATCTCCAGCAATTCTAGTTAATATCTCTTTATAGATACACACTGACTATATAATGTAACAAGCATGATTATACTCACTGTAATAACTATGATTGTCCCTATTCTTTAACTCTCCACTTTATAGAAACATTAGAGATATGAATCAATGTCAAAGTTATTCTTTATATTTATTGTGATTTATGGACAGTATCATCTCTCCGTATCTGAGATTATAAATTTCTGTAAAAGAAAAAAAATATACGTTCCTTAACTAGGAAGAAAATTAAGTATCTCACTAATGAAAACAGGCATTATTTTCCTTCCCAAGGAACTGTGTACATGTAAATGAATAAAAATTTAGTTTGGCAGATGAGAATTCTCTAAGAAAAGACAAAACATCACTTTGATGATTCAGAAACTAAGCCTCTTGTTATAGTCAGAAAAAAGTGACACTTTTCTGAATCTTAAAAATTTGTTTATCCTTCCATCCCTATGTTGAATTAATGCTAGTATGAGTCAGAAAAACTAAGAAGGAAACATAACAAGAGAGTCACTGTACCAGTGTGAGATACTCCTTTACCATTATTTCATTGTAGAGCAAGAGATGTAGTAGATTCTGATAAGGAACACAACGTGAAAGGAACAGTTAAATCAATCTTGAAAAAATGGGAGGAAATTAACCTTTATCTTTCATTCAGTGGCCTCATACCTAATGGAAAGAGAAACAAAGAAAAGAAATAAAACTATCTTATTTTTGTAAAGGAATTTAAGTGTCTTCAATGACTTGCTTTCACCCATTTGAAATCAGTGCCTATTTGCAAGTATTCTAACAGCCAAAGAATGTGATGAAACTCAAGAATTTTATACAATTTGATTTCATCCCAGTAGGTAACAGAATTAATTAAAAAGTACATTAAAACACTTTATATTATGATGTTTCTAGATATATTACCTCATATAAGTTATAAACTATTTTAAAGCAGAGAAAATGAACTTTAACAAAATTAATAGAGCTGTTATATGTGTTCATTAACTGCCTGAAAACTAAAGAACAAAGTTTAATTGGATTATAAACTTCCATAAATCACACAAGATTAGAAATCTGGCTGTCCGTTAAACTTCGAAAAATGCTGGAGTTTAAGTATAATTATCTTTATGTAGTGTACAAAAATGGTAAAATTTAATTCCTCAATAGTATTTCTGTTTAAGACCTATGTTCTGTCTTAAAATATACCACATTTAATAGCCACATATTTGACTTCCCATAAATGCTGAACACTCTTGGATACTACTAATTGCTTTTATCGGTTCTTAAATGTGCTTTCCAATATGATGTCCTAATTTTTTAGTTATTTGTTTAGAGTATTTCCTCAATTGTTGTGACACAAAAACCTTCAATATTTTCTGAGGGAATGCTTACCTGACATCTTACACCCATAGATTTTTTTTTATGAGTCTCCTTTTCAAAAACAAACTTCTACTGATATTTGAACCATTAAAGTTACTGTCATTGGTGGTTTGAAGCATCCTTTGCTTTCAGAGAACTAAGCAGAAATGGCCATCCTAAAAGAACACTGGAAAAATTAAAAGCCAACCTAAGTATGGCTGCGAATGCAAACATAGGAATAAGTATTAGTTGTGACCAAGTGAAACAATGAAGGTAAATAAGTAATGAAAATATTTTAAAAGAGCTTCAATATGTAAGTGACTATTGTGCCTGATGCATGTGTCAGATAATACATCAAGATTGCTGTGAGGGGGGAGCTTTGTTATCTCTCTTCTTGTGGTACTTAAATGTTAATTCTCATTGTATTCATCACTCAATCAGATCATCTCTGACTAAATACTGCAGACAACACATCAAAAGTGGCAATAGTACAAAATGCATTGACAGAAATTCTACCAAATAACACATTGTGAAGCAACAACTGACCACTGACCATGTGTTTGAGCAGATTTAAACTTTCAATGTAACAGCAAAGATGAGTCTTTCTATGAGTCTGAGAACTCAGAGAATGCAGATAGTTGTATATGCATCGTGACTTGTTTGAGCCCACATGGGAAAATCTGTTTGTGTTAGCCTATAATAATTTTTACCAACATTCATTGTGAATTTACTCTTAATTATCTTAATTAATGCTCAGAACATTACAATGAAGTTGCCAGTATCCTCATTTTCCAAGCAAAGAAACTGAGCCTAAACAATGCTCATGATCTAATAACTAGTTAAGTGATAAAGATAGAATTAACTTAGTAGACCATCAAAAGTTGAGTGGATGTCCATATCCTAAGCTACTTTTGGTTTCTAAAGAGTACATTCCTGGTTCTAAGAATGTGTAAAGGAGCCTTTTTGGCTCTCAGACATCAGGTAGCACCATTCTAGTATTACCTTGCACAGTCCTATGTGGCCAGAAGAGGGAGTGACAGGCACACATGAGTAAGTTCACCAAGACTTGATCCTGGCCTTTCATTCTGCACAGCTTCCTCTTATCCAAGCACCTGTTGCTGACAAGTTAGGTGTTCTCTTTTATAGAAGGAGGAGTGAAATCTTAGGAACTAGACGGTCTCCTAGTCACTTTCTTCTAACTTCCTATAAGAAGGTATAAATGGAAATAGACATTAAAATATTGTTAAATGCAACAAAGCATTGAATTTTAAAATGATTTTGTTTTTGTTTTATTAAACACTCTTATACATCAAGCCTGACTTTCAAGTCTTCCCATCAGGCCAATAGTCTGAGAAGAGTATAAGGTCTCTATTTTGCTTACAAGTAATCCATGATTTAAATGGAAATTCCAACTAACATTCTTTAGAATAATATGCAGAAATGCAATGCCACTTGAGTAACATGGTTAAATACTCACATTAACCAGTTTGAGGAAAAGAATTAAATAAAGAATGTTAATTTCTAATTGGAAAAAATAAATCAAAACATTAAGCTGTTTCTAAGTTTTCTTTGTAGACTTTTATTTTCTTTTACTCTGGCCTTTCAGTAGTACAAATTAATCTCTAATACAACTTTAATGACAAGCATTTGCACTATTTACCCATTTGTAGTGTAGCATAACCTCACAAACAAACTAAAATTATTTTATTCCATTGCTAGATATCAGTATCACACTTCATCTTTCATTTACTTACACTGTAAAAGAAGAAAACAGGTGGGGTGGAAGGTAAGATATTCCAGGGCATTTTGTAACTTTCTCTAGAATTACATTTTGAATTATAGGGAACTGAATAATATCTTTGCAAAGTAAAATGCAGTTCACAAAGGAAGATATATGTTCATCAATTGATAGTAAATAATACTGCTCATTTTAAAGATGATGAATTCTTTGCAAGACAAGGAGACCACAAAGTGATAGTGACAAATTTAGCTCTTGACATTTCAGTGCTGCAAATGAACCCCCTGGCAAGTTGTCTTTAGAAGTTGTTCCATAATTACGCAGTATTAAGCACCATCTGACTCATGGAAATTGTGGAAAGGATTATATTTAGTCTGCTGATACTACACTTTCTCCTGATTCTCTTCAGACAAAAATGCTTTTTATGA